TCTCCTGGCAGATGCGGGCATCCGCGCGCAGACTGCATGCCCCGTCCGCTTCTTGGGTTGCGCGCTGGACAGCAGGACAGCCTGTGATCGAGGATGCTCTTGCAATACTCTCCTTGGTTCCATGCATGAAGAGCTCTGGTGCGTCCTCGCTGGCTGCGCCTATCGCTGGATCGCGCGGTGCTTCTGGGCGCATGATGCCGGGGGGCTAAAGTCCGTTGGTCGGCCTGATCCACAGCGCTGGGTTGTCGTCGTCGTCGCGTGAATATGATAACTGGAGACGCGCCTTCGCGGCGCCCGAACTGTCCGTCATCTCGGCGTTGCGTAGTAGTAACCGCGTCACCTTTTCTGGCGGTGGGCCGCGCATCCAATTTTCGACTGTCTCGCAACGACGACCACCCCAAAGGTGGATCAGAGCGTCCGGGCCGCCATCCGTCCATCGCATGGGCCCCAGGACCAGCAATCATTCATGAGTCGCTTGTAGCTCCGAGCGTTGCAACATGGTCCACGCCTGCAAGTGCGCGACCACCGCGCAGACATCGCAGTCAGATCCCTCTGATTTGACACAGGCGAGTACATTTGCATTGTTATATTTCCTGCAAGGTTTCAAACCGTAGCTGTCCCCCTCGGAGAGTCAGAGGGTCCGCGGTGCGAAGCTTCCAGCGCAGCTCTTCTCGCGGTACCACGGCGGCACGCTGCGTCGGCATCGCAGATGGGCCAGGGCAATTGTCTCTATTGGGCGTGTCCGCCCCAGCTTGTCTCGAAGATCCAATGGGCGCGCCCGCCCCAGCTTGGATTTCGGCGCCGCCCTGTCGAGTGGGCGCCGCCTCTGACCTTGGCGCAAACAGCACAGTGGGCGGCGGCTGGGCCGATGACGAGGCCGCGGCCGACGACCCGGCAGATGCCCCGCCCCGGAATGTGGCCGAATGCGGCCTACCCTGGAATTTTTACTGCGCAACGCCGGTCAACTTCACAGCCTTGTTCTTGCCTTCGGGCCGGAAGGATTCCACTTCGAGGCGTTCTGGCTTGGGCCGTGGCAGTTTGCTTACTGGGAGTGGATGCAGTAGTTTGCCAGCGTCTTGGTTTTGTTCCCCCGCGGTAGTCGGCAGAAGGTCTTCTGTGGCCTTGAATGTTCTCACCGCTGCCGCATCGAATGGAGTGCTGGGTTTTGGCTGACCGCTGCCCGCGGCCGAGCTTGAACCTCTCTGGCTTGCAACCAATAACTTCGGTGCCCTCTGTGACTTCTCTGATCGTTCAGTGACCGGCTGATCGGGCATAGGTGTCAAGCTGCCTTTGCAATGTTCAGCCTTCTGCTTGGCGCTGATTACCCTGGTTCCCTTTGCCATGATTGTCCTTGTCTTCGAACCCGGAGGACTCTTCCAGATCCAACTCTTGATCAGGGCGCAACTTCTTCTTGGGAGCCAAGTCTTCTCGGGCCTCCCGGGCGCGTCCGCCCTTTGGCCTGGCAGGCGACGCTGGCGCAAAGGCCCCCCCCCCCCCTCCTCGCCAGACCTTTCATCTGCCGCTCGAGTCGACCCTGGCGGTGATGCAGGAGCTTCGGCCCTAGAGCTGCCAACGACCTGACCTGTCACGTCCAACTCGCGGTGGAGGGGAAGAGCGCTGCGGTCATTGTCGTTCGCGTCTTCGTCAGGATAGTCGCGAGGATTGCGATGATGCCAGTCCGCTTGGCATATCTGGGGCACGCGGCCGTCTGGCAGATCACCCCATGCTTCTTCTGTCTTGCACGTCGTTGTCGAACCACGAAACGTAGACTGCAAATGACGCGGCCGTCCTTCCGCCAATGCCATCGCCGTGGTCGGGGAAACCGTGCTTCTCGCCGCGCCATGGACTAAGCGATGGACGATCCATCGGGCATTTTACACGATGCTGACTGCGAGGCGGCGTGGGCGCACGCGGTGCCCCCTGCGTTTATCAATCACCTTGCGCTTGAATGCGATTTGTTTCGTCACTGTCTCTGTGGCGACGGTCTGAAGTTTTGATGGCGCGGCCTCCTTCGTCACGAATCAAACGCAATGTTCTAGTGACCACCAGTGGCGAATCTCGACTTCAAATACGCCTTGCTCCGCGCGGGGGCCCTGGTGGTCGCGCGAGAAAGAGGCGCGCCCCTTACCTATGGAGGCACGCCACCTTCCCCGTCCTCTGTCGCCGGAGCTCGAGCCGCGCATGGGCTCGGCTGAAGCGGCGCGGCCCTTGCCCCTAGACTGGCCAGCGCCCCGAAAAATGGCTGCGTCCACGGCCCGGGCGGCCCGTGTCCGGGCAGTATTCTCCAGCATTACTGAACCGCCTGCTGCATGGTGGGCCGTTGAGCTGCTCCCCGGCGACCACTTCCCCCGTTGCCTCTGCAAGGTTCGCCAGAGCCGATCGGGGTCTTACCAGACTTACCCCACGTCAAGAATGCGTTGGCGCGGGTCTGGCCCCAACCCGCCGCTGCCCGCCCCTCCTCCGCGACTGCCGGGGCTGGGGGCGGACGCGGGGGATTCTGTTCGTGTCCGAGCTGTTTCGTTATTTCAGCGCCAGTGGCAGGCATGGTCTTCGCATCGGACATGCACCCGTCACAATCGTCATGTTCAGACTCTGCCTGCGCGTGTCAGTGCCAACGCGTGCCGACCCAATCCTCGATGGGGGGGCGTCGTAGAGCTCCTCGATCCCGTCGTGGAGGCACTCCGTGCACCGCTCGACAGAAACGGCGGCAACTGCACAGTGGGCCATCAAAAACCAAGCAGAGCTGGTTTGAGAGGCAGAAAAGTGGTCGAGTTTGGGGAAATCAACGCACTCGATGATATCCGTTTCGGACTGGTCTGAGCCAAGAAATACGGATCCGTCTCCCTGCACAACTCCCTTGGAACACTGCGCTTGGAAGTGCATGTCTCTCCGCGTATGAGCCGCGTCATTCTTTTAACGTCTTTACCCAGTGGATGAAGCCTGCGTCCCTCGCCCTGACCTGTTGTGCGCCTACGACCTTTGCCCCTGCCCGTTATTCGTAAGACTGGTTATTCAAACTCGTCGTCGGTCAATCGAGCCAGGAACGCGGCTATGCCTTTGCTGTGCAATCTGCGGGTGCGTCTACCACCTCTGCCGCGACGCTTTCTATTGCGGAAGAAGACGCGACGCGCGGGTCGCCTGAACCTCCCGACAGGCTTCTTCATATGTCGCCTCCGCCTTCTTTCGACGCGATGATATCCTAGGCGCAAGTATTTTGTCGCTGCATCATCACCGGCTGGCAATTCTGACCAGTCGAGGTTTTCGGCACTTGTAGAAGAGACCGCATCGGCATCCGTACCGGAGTCGAATACATCGCCGTCTTGGTGGCTGGGTGAGTCCCAGAAGGTAGTCGCTTCAGGTGGTGCGTAGCTGGCCGCTGACGGCCAGCCCATATTTGAGCCAGATGCCTGTTCGCGGCTATTGTTGGCGTCTTGGCCTAGAAGCGTGGTGGACTCAGTGGGTCCCCCGTCGTCCCAGATACTGTTCGGCGGGGCTGCCGGTGTATCGCTTATCTCGGCGTGGTAAATGTCAGCGTCGCGTCCGGTGGAAAAGCCCAAGAAATTCCCTGGGGAACGCCAGCCAAGTGCCCATGGCTGCGCATTCACTTCAAAAGTTGGTCCACTGCTGTTGTTGCGGATAGGTATCGGTGTTTGAATTAAACGCAGCATGTAGTCACACGGTGGGGATACTTAGATGTAGGATTGTGATTTACCACAGGGTTCGAGTGTTGGGAATGTAGTGGCTGAGAGCCGGCGCAGTCAAGTAATCCACTGTGCCATGGTATGTGGTTCTGTACATAACACTTGATGTAAGAGCCAGCCACACGAAGATGCAGCCAGGTCCGCTATCAAGTGAAAAATAAGGGTCCAGGGGTTGACAATGAGGTACGAATCTGAGAACCCTAGTATTACGATAACGTCGACGACGTATCGAAAGATCCCACAACTCATCCCTCGATGGCAAACGAGAGGTTAGATCAGGAAGGAGCCATTTGAGATGGATCATCGAGGACGTGGCAACTGTCGGTTGCTACGATCCCAATAAAGGTGCACAGAGTCACGTGCACTTGGCATATTGGATAGCGCTGCCTTGGGCCAAAACAGCGTCGGATATAGCGTTCGGTAAACAGCCTCACCTTAAACCTCGTTTAACATGAAAATAAGGAAGATATAAACATCAGCACGTCAGGATATCATGCCCAGGACGGGATGGCCCGAAACCGATCATCAAAAACATGCGCCGTTGTATTAAACACCCGTCAAGCGACAGTGCCAACTACAAGCTGACTGGCATGGGCCGGCCCATGGAACTACATAAACCCGCGATGTGTTACGTAACTTGTTAGAGACATGTGACAACATTATCCCATGCAACCGACCCTGCCAGAGATGTCTCTCGGTATCCCGCTCAGGACAGGCCCGGCAAGGCAAAACACTAAAACTATTTGAAGACGAACAGGCGCAAGAGGAACCCAGAAGTGGAGGATGAGGGAAACGAGGCCAAGAATGGCTGGACGTCCGAATCGAACATCGGCGGCGCACTGCGCCCGCGTCGGTCCGACAAGGATCGCGACGGGAGCCCTGTGGAGGCCCACAAGGACGAACACGAGGGAATGGTGGCGGTATCAGCACCTTTCCCTCCTCTGAACCATGGCTTCTCAAGCCCCGCATGCCCTCGGTGTGAGCGCGCGGGCGGAGAACGCGCCAGCGCGCTGGGAGACGGGGCGGTTCCTCGGAGCCCGAATCGGAACCCGAAAAACCGGCTCCGAGTCGGGATGATTGGATTGTTCGTCCACGGCGGGGAGCCGTGCCTGCAGGCCGCTGCTTACCTCACCCCCTCAGTGTTGTCTCCCCGTTTCCCGCCCGCTCCCCAAACTCGCCGTTTCCTGCCCCACTCGCGTGTGACAAATGGCGCCGAAAACGGATGCAAGCTGGTGTCTCTCCTTCTCCCTTGACAGCGTGCCGCGTTGCAGAGCCGAGCGAGAACGAGCAAGGCGAGGCCTGCAGCTCCTCGGCCCGAGTCCTGGAGCGCTGGTCCCAGAAGGCCGCCTTCTCCTCGCACTCGGACTTGAGCACACCTGTCTGGCTTAGTGGAGGGAAAAGGCGCGTGAGACGTAGCCCGCTGCGCACACTCACTGACCTATTCCTCCGGCCGTTTCCACACCTTCGGCAGGGGGGAGAAGGAGAGAGGAAGGACCAGGAAGAAGAGAGGCAGGGAAGAGGATGGGAAGAGGGAGGAGAGGGAGGAAGCACCCTCTCCTCCACACCCCCAATATGCCCTCCGGTCCACTCCTTGTTCCCCAGCTGGTGCCTCTGCCTTGCCGCGCCCTTTTGAAACTCAGACGGTCGTACCAAATACAGTGGTTAACGGGGATAGGATCCTAACACGGAAGTATGATTCCAGTGCAGTCAACATTGGAGCAAGAGGGACGGCGGAGAAAATGTGGAGGGCTGATGAAGGGCGGAAGAGTGAGGAGGGCGGATGATAGGAGAGACGAGGAGTTAAGAGGGAGGAGGGAGGGGGAGAAAAAACAAATGAAAGTGACACAACAAATGAACCAGGAGGACGGAAGAAGGAAGAGGCGGAAGGGAGGAGGAAAAGGAGGAGGCAGGGGGGGGGAAGGATCAGGAAGGATGGGGCAGGGGTCAGACAGCAGATGGGAGAAGGAGGAAGGGAGGGGGAAGGAGGAGGGAGGAGGGGAGGGAAGACGCAGCCAGGCCACCCATGAACTCTTCGTCGGCGGTCTTGGCCCTGGTCTCCTGACGGGGGGGGTCGACACCGCGCTGCCGACCTGCAGCGCAGGCCATCCACAACTGCAAGAGGGCTGGCGGCAACAGTGGCGGCAGCGGCAGCGGCGAAAGCGAATGCGCCGTCTCACTTCCCTTCTCTGCTCCCTCCTCCTCCTCCTCATCCTCCTCCTCCACCACATCCACATCATCATGATCATCATAATCATCAGCCGCAGCAGCAGCAGCATCGTCACAATCAGCAACATCAACATCATCAACATCATCAGCATCACCATCACCATCACTATCACAAACACTATCACCGTCGTCGGCATCGTCATCCGCATCAGCATCAGCAATGACACTGTCCTTGTCATCACCAGCATCCGTATCATCAACATCAAGGCCATCATCACCAATACCATCAACAACACCATCATCCGCGTCGGCACCCTCATCATCAGTATCATCACCATCATCATCATCATCACCATCTGCATCAGCATCGTCATCGTCACCACCATCATCATCATTACATCATCAGCATCAGCATCATCATCGTCATCATCATGATCATCGTCAACGTCGTCTTCGCCGCCGTCATCATCGTCGTCACCATCGGCGACAGCGTCGTCATGATCATCATCATCATCGTCATGGTTATCGCAAGCGTCAGCATCAGCATCATCATCCTCAGCATCAGCATCGTCATCAGCAACAGCTTCAACAACACCAATGTCGCCATCATCATCATCTCATCACCACCGTCAGCATAATCACCGTCATCATAATCAGCATCATCATCGACAGCACCATCATCATCATGACCACCACCATCACCATCCCAACCATCATCATCATAAACAAACAAGCACCATCACCAGCAACATCATCAGCAGCGCCATCATCATCATCATCATCATCATCATCATCATCATCATCATCATCATCATCATGAGCATCGCCGTCGTGCTCGGCATCGGCACGTTCACCATCAGCAGCATCAGCATCAGCATCACCAGCATCATCACAATCGCCATCACCATCGCCAGCAGTATCCGCATCATCACCATCGCAACGAACCATCAGCACAAGTATTACCCACATCATCAGCAGCCTCATCAGCAGCATCCTAACCATCATCGCCATCATCATCATCATCATCATCATCATCATCATCATCATCATCAGTGTCAACATCATCATCATCAGCATCATCATCATCGAAATCAGCATCATCATCATCACCGTCAACATTATTATCACCAACACCACCGTCATCATCCTTACCACGACCATTATGATCATCAGCTACATCACCAGCATCATCATCATCGTCAGCATCAGTATCGTCATGCTCAGCATCATCATCAGTAGCATCAACCTCAGCATCCTCATCATCGTCGTCGCCATCATCAGCATCAGCATTAACATCATCATCGTCACCATCATCGTCCTCATCATCATCCTCATCCTCATCATCATCAGCATCATCGCCATCCGCATCGTCATCCTCATCCTCATCAACACCAGCACCAGCATCAGCATCAGAACCAGTATCAGCATCGGCATCAGGTCCATCATCATCATCATCATCATTATCATCAGCAGCAGCATCAGCATCAACACCAGCATCAGTATCAGCAGCAGCCGCATCATCAGCAAGCAGCAGCAGCATCAGCATCATTAACACCATCAGCATCATCATCAGCAGACGCACCATCAGTATCATAGTCATCAGATTCATCATCACTGCCATCATCATCATCAACATCAGCAGCAGCAGCAGAAGTATCATCATCAGCTTCAGCATCGTCACCATAATCATCACTATCACCATCAGCAGCATCGTCATCACCATCAGCATCACCATCATCATCACTATCAGCATCCCATCATCGTCATCGTTACAGCCATCATCATCAGCAGCATCGTCATCATCAGCACCATCATCATCATCATCATCATTAGCAACATCATCATCATCATCATCATCATCATCATCATCATCATCATCATCAACGTCATCATCATCGTTGACATCATCGAAATCACCATCTACACAACCACCGTAACCATCACCTGTCCTTCTCAATCACCCCTCTTCCGCTTCCTCTCCTTCCCGTACGCGCCCACGCGCACGCATGTGGCGGCGACAGGCGGATCTATCCAGTTTTTTCACGGGGTACCAGCGTTCCGACTGGGGACAGAGGGGATTCATCGACTCTCGCTGGCAGAATCCAGAATCGAATCAATCAGTCGTATCGGCGATCGAAATGAATCATATCGGCAAAATCGGCAGTCAACTCGGAAAAAGTCGAATCGGCAGAAATCAGCAGGCTAGTGAGGCCTCCAATGAGAAACCGACATCCAAATCGGCATCCGAGATCGAAACGAATCGAATCGGAGTCGGGATCGATCGAAACCGAATCGAATCGAGTCGGAGGGGTCGAAATGCGCCCTGCCATGGGGAGCTGAATCGCCACTGAGGGAGCCCGCAAGGGGGTGACGCCTGAGTCGCCGTGCCGGGGGAGGCGCCAGCGCCGACCCAAGGAATCAGAGCGGCCCTCCGAAAGGTTGTGCTTGTGTCGTCTTTGATGCTCTGTTTCCTCTTCCTTCCCTGGGGATTCCGACGGCCCCAATTGGAGAAGCCCTGATCGGACGCACCCAGGGAGGGGGGCGGGGGGCGGCACAGGATCGGTCGTTTTTTCGCCAGGACGCACAACAGCGCCACGCAGGCATCGGGCCGCATCGGACCGTCGGAACATCGGGGTCGAACAGGATCGGGCTGGCCGGGAACCGACACAGAGTCGGCCAGCTCGGATCGAAGCGGGCCCGGCGGGGGCAGGGCGGGGCGCTCCACGTACTGGGCCTCGACCGCCGCGGCCTTCTCCGCTGACTTCTCGGCTTCCACCCTCTCCTTCTCGGCCTCTCGGAGCGGGGCGCGCCGCCCACGGGAGCGGCACAGAGGGGGGTGGGAGCGGGGGGGGAGATCGGGACGGGGAGGAGGGAGGGGGGGGGACAAGCTAGGTGCGCTCGCGTCATATCTGACATCCTACCCTTCCCTCCCATCCCTTACCATGGCGCAGATCCCCTCTCTACTCGCACAGTCGGATGTCGAGCAGGGCAATGATCCCGAAAGAGTACGCGATGCATTGTAGAGCACGGCATGGCATGGCGTAGAAGAGCACCGCAAAGCGTAGTATCAACCTAGCATTGCATTGCACGCCGTGGCATGGCACGGGAAATGACGCCAGCGCTGCAGCGGGAGCACGATTCGGAACGAGCGGAAGCGCGGAAATGAGGCCAGCGCTGCAGCGGGAGCACGATTCGGAACGAGCGGGGCCCGAAAATGAGGCCGGCGCCTCAGCGAGAGCAGCATGTTGAAAAAAAATGCAAGCGAAAACCCAACTCCCGGGAAACCTGTGTGTGAAAAAACAGGACGCGGGGGGGGGGGGGCGAACACTCCCAGTACGTCATCAGGGGAAGAGAGAGAGAGAGTAGTATTCATATTGAATAATTGTGGAGGGGCCCCGCCCTCCCCCCCCAATGAATCCCCCCCAGCCCGGGGAGCAGGACGGAGGCGGCGGACGGAAAGCGGGATGGGCTTGGGAGAGTCAGCGGCAGGAGGGACTTACACCAGAGCCCTTCATCTGCTGCTTGCCCCCCCTGTTTGCACCTCTTCAGGATCCATCGCGACGCCCATACCTACCAATGCCAGTCAACAGAGCTGCTGACCCGTCCTATACTTCTGATGGCCCCACAGCAAGCCGATTATGACGCCAGCAGCACGGAGTGTTCTAGAGGGCTTTCTACTTTTTGTCTATCTCTCTCTCTCTCTCTCTCCTCTCTCTCCATTTCCTTGTATACTTCTCTCTTGTTTCTCTGCCTCTATGTATCTCCACATATCAGCATTGATTCATGCCTTCTGTGCCCATCTGGTGAGATTCATGGTCCATGACAACTTTATTATTCCCCCCTCAGCTCCTACTGGCACAGGAGGCATGATATGAAGAGGAAAAGGAAGAGGAGGAGGACGACGACGACGATTACGACAGCGACGGAAACGCGAACGAGGTGGCAAGGAGGGGGGAAGAGAATAGGTGGGAAAGCGGGGGAAAGCAACGGGGAAAGCAGAAGGGAGGGGGCGACAGGGAGAGGTGGATGGGGTACAAAGTACGCAGTAGGAGCGGGGCAGGAGACGGTGAGGAGCGAGGGAGCTCGGCAACAGCTGGAAAAGTGTATCGCATTCGATACGCATCAAACAAAACTCCAAACGAATCAGGAGTCGAGGTCCTCGGGTGGCGGCGCAGCCTGCCGTCGACGCTCCCGCACCGGAGGAGCGAGGGAGGAGAAGGAGGAGGATGAGGAGGAAAAGGACGAGAAAGAGGAAGAGGAGGGGAGGAAAGAAGACGGGGAGGACGAAGACGACATGTTCCCCAACCAACGCACACGCATCCCACGGCTCCCTGCCAGCCAGCGCCAGCGAGGTGCCCGCGCCCGCGGACCGCTCCCCGCCCGCTCGGGCCTTGTCCATCTCCTTGAACTTCTTCTGGGCGTCGGCCGGGCGTTGGCGAGGGCGGAGGGAGGAGCTGTTTTCCAGGAGGAGGATACATTCATCGTGCTACCAGAAGGCGCGCATAATGAGGAACGAATGGGCTGTTCTGGCCACGGAGGGCCTAGACCACGAACAGGTTCCACGACATAAATCTAAGGAACGGCCCGAAAACCCGAGCCCCTCCTGAGCCCAAACTTACTACAGCGTTTTGACTGTGGCGCAGAGGAGGAGTGGACAGGAGCTGTTCGAGGAGGAGGGAGAGGATATCACAGAGGAGGGAGAGGAACGAGCTGTTCCAGCAGGAGGGGAGAGGATGAGGACAGCACATAAGAGCAAAAAACGGCTCAGACAGATACATTCGGAGGTCCACGCAAAGCCTCCGGCGCCGCCCCCATTTCGCTTCGCGCGCCACGGGAGGGGGGGTCCAGCGCCGACGGCGAATCTCGACAGAGTCGAGACAGAGCACTGGCGCCCGCTTTTGTGGGTTAGCCCCTGGGCGCCTGGGCGGACAAACCTCAGCGAGGAATCGGGAGATGTGCACCATAAATCTCCCACATGCTCGACAAAACAGGACGCAACGAAAAACACCAAAGTCATGTGACGAGTGAGCCCGAGTAGCCCCAGGATGCGCGAGTACGGCTACACGCCCCTCCAGAGGCCATCTCCCCAGGAGGAGGAGGAGGAGGACGACGACGACCATGCGAGAGGACGAGGATTAATGGAAGTAACGGCAGGCCGGCCACACTCGTCTTATCCTGTCGCGGCGTCGATCTCCGCAACTCACTCCCTGAGCCCTCTCCCAGGCTCCTGGCTGCTTGTTTCTGGTGCCAGAGGCTATCCGTCTCCACCTCATCCTGCTCCTCCTCCTCACCACCACAGCAATCATATACAATCAGTACCATGATCGCCATCAACACCATCATCACCACGACCACAACCATCATCATCATCACCACTACCACCACCACCATCACAATCACAATCGCTATCATCATCATCATCGTCGTCAGCGTCATCAGCGTCAGCAGCATCAGCATCAGCAGCATCAGTTGCATCATCATCAGCAGTAGCATCAGTATCAACATAATCATCATCAACATCATCCTCCTCCTCATCATCAACATCACGACCGCTACCGTTTTCAGCATCACCATCATGAGAAGCATGATGCGCAACATCACGATCATCATCATCATCATCATCATCCTCATCATCCTCATCATTATCATCATCATCATCATCATCATCATCATCTCAGCATCACCACGACCACCACATTCATCAGCAGCATGATAATGATCGTCATCGTCATCAACATTAGCAACAGCATCAGCATCAGCAGCATTGGCATCATCATCAGCAGAAGCAGCAGTAGCATCATCATCATAATCAGCATCAACATCCTGAGCATCAGCATCATCACCCGCATCAGCATCAGCATCAGCATCAGCATCATCACCAGCATCAAAAACAGCATACTTATCATCATCAACATCATCAGCCGCAGCATCATCATTACCAGTATCAACAGCGCCAGCATGGGGCTACCATCATCAACACCATCATCAGCACCAGCATCAGAATTAGCATCATCATCAACATCATCATCGTAATCACCAGCAGCATCATAGCACCAGAAACAGCATCAGCTGAATCAGCATCAACATCAGCATCAGCAGCATCATCACCAGCCTCATCATCAGCAGCATCAGCGCCAGCATTATCATCATCAGCAGCATCAGCATCAGCATCAGCAGCAGTAACATCCTCATCACCATGAATATCATCAACATCAGATGCAGCATCATCACTAGCATCAGGACAAACATCGTCGTCATCAGCATCAGCATCATCCGCACCAACATCATCATCGTCATCAACACCAGCTACATCATCATCATCAGCAGCAGCAGCCGTATCCGTACCCGCATCAGTAGCAGCATCATCAGCATCGTAAACATCGGCATCGGCAGCGGCAGTAGCATCACCATCAGCACCATCACCATCACCGACACCACTACCATCGTCATCATCATCATCAGCAGAGTCAGCATCATAATCAGCATCAGTATCGGCAGCACCATCAGCATCAGCATCATCAGCATCATGATCAGCATCAGCATCAGTTTCATCACCATCAGCAACACTGCCATCATCCTGAAAATCAGTATCAGCAGCATCACCCGAAGCATCAGCATTAGCAGCAACACAAGCATCATCAGCATCAGAAATATCGCAAGCATCAGCAAGCGGCAGCACAGTCATCCTCGTCACCATCATCACCAGCAACACCATCAGCATCAGCAGCATAAGCACCAGCATCCGCATAAGCATCAGCATGATTACCAGCAGCATCATCATCATCATCATCATCATCATCATCAGCATCCTCATCCTCCTCAGCATCAGCAGCTTCAGCATCAGCATCCTCATCATACTCAGCATCCGCATCATAACCAGCGTCATTACCATCTTCATCTTCGGCATGAGCATTATCAACAGCAGCACCAACACCAGCAACAGTAGCAGTTGCATCAGAACTAGCACCAGCACCAGCATCAGCATCAGCAGCATCAGCATCAGCATCATCATCAGCCGAACACGTATCATCATCAGCATCGTCAGCATCATCAGCATCGTCAGCATCATCAGCATCATAGGCACCAGCATCAGCATCAGCAAAAACATCATCGTCATCAGCACTGGCATCAGCAGCAGAATCACCATCATCAACAGCTCACCAGCAACAACAGCATCACCATCATCATCACCATCATCAACATCATCATCATCATGACCAAGCGCATCATAACCGACTCCGACAGCATCAACGTCATCACTATCAGCAGCATCATCATGAATAGCATCAGCAGCATCACCATCACCAGCATCATCACCATCATCGTCATCATCACCATCGGCATCATCATCAGCATCATGATCACCATCAGCAGCATCATTCGCCTCAGCATCGACATCATCAGCATCAGCACCGCCATCAAACTCAGCATCATCATCATAATCACCAGCATCACCAGCATCAACATCCGCATCCCGTATCATCGCACTCAGCATCGCCATCAATATCAGCATCATCAACATCGGCATCACCGTATCATCGTCATCCGCATCTTCATCAGCAGCGTCATCAGCATCAGCATCAGCATCATCATCAGCATACTGAGCATTATCAGCATCACCATCCTCATCGTCAGCAGCATCGCCGTTCGTAAGTAGCATGATCATCAGCAGTTTCAACGGATTCGTTGCCACTATAATCATCATCATCACCATCACCATCACCATCATCATCATCATCATCATCATCAGCATCATCATCCTACTGAGCGATATCAGTAAGGGCGTCAACATCATTATCAGCACCAGCATACTCATAAGCAGCTGCATCGACATCAGCATCATACTCTTAATCTGGATCCTCATCATCACCAACATCAGCATCATCAGCAGCATCATGGTCATCATCAGCATCGTCATCATCATCATCAGCATCATCACCAGGAGCATCATCATCAATCAACATCATCATCAACATCAACATCATGAACATCATCACCAACACCGAAATCTTGGGCAATATCATCACCGTCAGCAGCAGCATCAGCATCATCCCGTCATCAGCATATTCATCATCAGCATCAGCATCATCAGCATCATCAGCATCATCAGCATCAGCATCATCAGCATTATCATGACCAGCAGCATCATCATCATCAGCGGCAGCACCAGCACCAGCACCAGCATCAGCATCAGCATCATCATCACCATCATCATCAGCATCAAGATCGACAGCATGTTCAGCATCAGCATCAACGTCTTCGGCATCAACATATGCCTCATCAATCAGAAGCATCAGCCTCAGCCTCAGCCTCAACATCAACTTCTACATCATCACAACCACCAGCACCACGACCGTCATCATCCCCACCACCACCACCACCATCATCATCGGCATCATCAGCATCATGATCATCATGATCATCATCGTCATCATCAGCATCGGCATCAACATCATCGTCGTCGTCATCGTCCGCACCATCAGCATCATCATCATCAGCACTCAGTAGCGTCGTCCGCATCATTATCACCATCAACAACAACATCATCACCATCACCGGCATCATCATCATCATCATCATCATCATCATCATCATCATCATCATCATTGCCAGCATCATCGTCAGCAGCATCATCATCACCCGCATCTTCTATCGTCGTCGAAGACGTTGCACTGGTGCCTCGTTACTCTTCTCGAGACGAATGTTGTCGTACAGCTTTTTGTTCTCGAATTCCGTCGTGTCGAGATCGTTCTTCTCCTTGGTGAACTGGTTTTTAAGGTCCTGTGGCGGGATGGGCAGCGGCGCCCAGTCGCCCAGCAGAGAGATCCAGGAGAATGAGGGGGGGACGGAAAAGGGAAAAGGCAGATTTGTTGACATCGACAAAGCTGCCCACATACACCCTGAGTGTTGGGCAAGTCCACTCCGAGGCCGCCCCTTTGCGAAAAAGACACGACAGTGTAACCATCATTGTTCTGGCCCGCAGATTCCTTGATTAATCAGAGCCTGACTCCGACCCTTGAGGTTGACAGGCCACCGCAACTCCACCTGTCGCGGCCTCTTCGGGCCTGAGCGCCGAGGAGGCCCCTCGCATGGCAGCCGCAGGATCCGGCCCTGGCACAACTACGCTCGCTTCTCTGCTTGCGTGCGGGTCGAGACCAGGCGCAAAGGATGGAAGGACAGGCAAATCGACTATCCGCAGGGTCTTGTCTGCCCTCGAACCTTTACCTGCCAGGGCGTTATGAAAATTTGTGCGTCCGTGCCTGTTGAATTGGCCCAAGCACCTGCTGGACCAATTGCTCTCGGCCAATGCACCATGATGGAGGAACGCACCGCACCGCAGGCACAAGAAACAGTCATAGCCGTCTGACACATGAAACATCATAGGTTTGTGTTGGTTGTTTTCCGCCTCGTTTAAATCAAGCTGAGACGGGCGATACATTTACCAGGCCCAGGTTTTGCCACAGGCCTGGACCCATTCTACAAACAGTGCGACGCCGCACTCCCCAAAACACTGCCAATCGTGCTGGAGGTGAAACACAAAAGGCTTGGGTTCAACATCAGGCGCCCGAAATTCGACACCATCTAGCCTTAATCGCGGCCACTGCGGGAGCCGTTTGGCAGTTAGCAAACAGACAGCGCGAGCAGCGGCGATATTGCTCGTCACCCTCCCCCTTTCGGCGTTAGCAATGGCATCAGCATGGTCGTTTCCGAAGACGCCGAAAACGCTCGCTCTCGTCACGCCCTGGCTCTTCACGATCACTGTGGGCCCGCACTCTCTCCAACGAACCGATAAACTTGCACGAATTGGCATACATAAAGTTGCCGGCCTATTTTTGTTGTTGGAAGAGAGCCTCTGGCTAGGAGGCAGGTTATAGTGACTCACTGCCACCTGGCAATCAGGAGCAATCTCGCTGGCCTCTCCTAGCTGCAGCGCCGCCTGCCCAGGCGCCGTAAACTCCGCAACAGGTGTCGCCTGCAGCATTGGCGACAGAACAAGCCCAAAACATCGATCACTCTGGATCCCCAGCCGAGGGGACCTGCACTATCCCCCATCCAACCTTCGAAAGTTCTGGCATCGGATACCCTAGCACGCTACCGTCTACAAAGATTGCACCACCAATCAAAACATCAGCGCAGTCGCGATCACCCCGATGAGATCTGATCTCCAAAGCCCCCACCTCTCTCGGCTGAGGCCAGAAGCTCCAGGGTGCACGAAGATGCCACGCGTGAACAAGCCCGCTGGATCAGATTCGCTTTCACCAACTCCCCCCTCCCTTCCCTGACTGCCTCGCAGCACCAGAACCTACGATGCAGAGTGTCAGCAGCCTGCGTGTAAAGAGGGCAAGATGCTGCTCGTCATGCGCCATGCATCTATGGGCCTGCGAAAGCGAAGCCGTCCAGCAGCCCCCGCGTGCCAGATTTTGGATAGCGCACCTTTCGATGGGCGCAGCGTTTCCGTCGAGTTTCGGCCTCGACAGTGTCGAAACGAGCTCGGCCCCAGGACGCCGCCAATTTTTTGGCGATGAAATCATTCAGCTCTCGAAAGACTGCGCGACGGGGGAGATTTTTTTCAGAGCGTGGAGCTGACCAAGGTCAGTTGGATAGCAGCACCCCTGCGGTCTACCAGCGCGGGAAAATCACGCGTGCCCCAGCCCGACCTCTGCGCGCACAAGCACATCGCATGGCCTTCGAACGCGCCGCCAAGTAGCGGGGGGGGCACTGGGTTCAAATGCCGACGCCCGGGGCCGCCGCAGCACGGGCACACTGGGAAAAAGCCTCCTTGCTCCATCTGACTGCGGGCGCTGCCATGTCGCGCCAGACGAGACCGAAGGAGACCGCCCCCCGCAAGAAGAACGCACACGCTTGCCGGCCTGCTGCCCGACGCGGCCCGCCACGGAATTGCTGGCCCCATGAACCTCAGCACCGCGGCGCAGCCCGGGCAAAAGGTCCACTGCAACAAATCATTTTAGCCGAAAGCCCAAAAATATGCTGCTGTCGCTAGACGCGCTCAAGCTTGACCTTGAACACTCTCTTCCTCGACTTACGCTCGACCGCTCGCCCTCTCGCCCTGACCCCTCCCCCCGCCGCGCCATCAATCCCTGAGTTGACAGCGGCCGAAGAATCTGGACTGGGCCCCGCCACTGAGCCCAACCATTCAGAGAGAAGCTTGCCAAACAAAAAATCGCTGGCCACCCAATTTGCCTCGTCGGGTGAAAACGCGCTCCTCAGACCGTTAGTGACAGCATTGTGAACTGCAGCCGCGGCTGCCCTCAAGCCATTGAGAACCCCATGAAACGCGCCGGCGCTGGAAATCCCGGCGTCGCCCCTGAACAGACCCGGACTGACCGAGGGCCCCACGAAAGGTTCACTAAGGTTTTCACGTAGTATATCCTCACGCATGTAGTAGCTAGGCCGCACCCGGCAATGACCCCACGGAAAGCCAAGAACGGGCCCGCCAGGAAACCAGTGCTGTTAATAAACCTGGCACTCCTTCATGCTGCAAAAGCTGCCTTGACCACCGTAATAGGGACACCACAGTCAATGCACCTAGGCCTTCAATCGTTCAAATCCATCAGTTCGTGAAACTTAAGCATGCCCCACAAAACCGTCGCCGCGTAGCCTCCGCTGCGGGTGAGGCGTTCAGATCTAGCCGCCTGGCGCCACGCGATGCGGGTCGCACTCTGGTAGCCACTGCCCTATATAATATGTATATACACAAATTGCCTGATGAGCCCTACCCACTCCTGCGTGATAGATCCCCGGAGCCCCCCCGCGTCCTGCGCGCGGACGTGATAATCGGCCTTGGGCGCCCCATCGGCTTCTGATTCGGCAACATTGCAAGCACCGCCAATCGAATCTGGATCGGGAGAGTCGACATCACCACGATAATCGCGAACATGTACGACATCATTTCCAGTCCTTCATCGCATGACATCCGAAAACGCTTCATGCGAAATCCATCTACATTAACTGCTGACCGCTGCTTGCACAGACGGCTAACCAGGCGAATCGCATCTGCAGACGCACGAGGAAGGCCCCCTAGGCTCCAAATCCTCACAGAAGTCAGTCGAGGCGCCCAACCCCCTCCGCAGCTAGCCACAGATTTTGAACTTCGAACCTTCTGCCTTCAATAAAGATACCGAATCTGCCAGCACCGGTGAGAGTACCGAAGACGGGGCCCATGCTTCCACGGGCTTAGACCAGGCGCGAGCCGCGCGCGTTCCCTGGTCGATATCCTTTAAGAACCACTCCTGCCAAGACCGATCAGCATCAGGCTTTGCAGCCGTCGCGGCGGCCCTGCAGGAATCTTCGATCCGCGCCGAAAAACTGCAGCGCTCCTCGAAGGACTGGCCGCCCTTCACGATGAAGGCGCAAACTTCCAAGTACAGCTGCTGGCAACTGCCGCGAGCAAGGTTGTCGCGAATGAAAAGGTTGGGCGAACGACTCGCGCCCTGGGCCTTCCTCCTCTCCTGCGCCCCCTTACCCCCTGCGCGCAACTGCATCCGCCATGATCTGACGTTCTAATTCAGCCAGCGCGCGCAGGAAAGAACTGGGCGACCGCCACGGCGCCCGTCTCGTCTGCGTATATCCACACGCAAGAGTTGCGGGGCAACCCCTGCGACACACAGTTTTTGGCAATTGCGTCTGAAGGGCCTCCGCGAGTTCAAGCTCGGCCGCGGTCGCCCGGGCTCGGTGGAGCCCGTCCAACCCGGGAAAAGCCCCTCGAGAACCACGTCTGGCACAATCAAAAACTCTCCTGCGATCTTCTACACTGGCTGCCAATCTCGCGGCGCCGGAGCTGGCCCAGCAGGTTGCTCCGGCGGCAGCGGCGGGGGCTCGCGGAGCGAGGGGGCCTGCAGCTCGGCTTGCTGATCGAACAGATCAACTCCACTGGTTGGTGCGGTGCAACGTTGGCCGTGCGATTTACACGCGCACGCACTGCCAATGCCCTCAGCTAAACCACTCCAGACGGGGAAGTAGTCCAGGACCCTGTAACCCGCAGAAGACAAACACAACCCAGAACTCGTGCAAACCAACTGGGCATCTAGATCCTCCACGCGTTGACGCGTTCTAAGGGTGATGGGCCCCATGTTAAAATTTCACACCCCCTAAATTAACGCGCGAAGACGCACATGAAATAGCAGCCGCCCCCATGCTAGCTAGGATGTCCAAATTACCGCCGCTCAACTTCTCCACGCAATGCAGGGAGCTGCTGATGGGAAGAATCGGACCTCCCTGACCAGCATGCATCCACACTGTAATGGCTCTGCGGTCCACCACCTTAGTACCGCCGACAGGCTCATGCAAGCCCGAGAAAATTCTTTGCCGGTGCCGCCGCGCCACCAGAGGTGCACTGGTCACTCGAACCACTCGTCACCTCAGCTGGTTTAAAGCAGCCCTTCCAGCCCCTCCCGAATAGCCAGTGCTGGGCCTCAGCGATTTGAGACTCCTGAAAGCGATGCTCCTGCAACACGACCACATGCGCCGCACTCGTCGGCAGCCGCTCCTTGGCAGACGACCGCGCCGTGCAATTGCAACTACACGCCTTCAAAGCTAGGGCATCCTTACCCGGGGCCTGGGGGAGCTCGATACAAACAAAACATTTTATCCGATTTTGATCATGCCACGATAGAGTTAAGCCCGCAACCCAAACGCCAGAACCGACGGGGGCGGCGGACGCCGACAGGCTCGTCGAGGAATACGCCAGCGGTGGCACCGACGTGGTGCCCCCCATGCTGAAACATCTCCCACAACTTCCCGTGGCCGCTGGGCCACTGTCG